CTGTCCTGTCTCCCCCCCCCTTCATGAATTTGAAAGCCTGTGCTGGGGACATCCCATATTCTAATACTCCAGTGGAAAAAAACTGTGTGTGAAATATATACAGCTGTGTCCTGTGGACAGTGAATTTTAGATGGTGTGTACATATTGTCGGAAATTTTTGGCTTTTATATTCATCACTTCATAATCATATTTCTTGATCTGATATCTTATTTTTGGATCTAGGTATCCATATTTTTGGTCCAGGATTTTCTTTACAGGATCCTTTCTGAGTTACATATATATAAAAGAGAGTTAATATGTATACAGACTATAATTATTTCAAGCAATTAAATTAGCACTTCAGCTGGTTGAGCTAATAGCTTCATTGAAAGGTGTGTGAAAATAATTAGCAAGCATTTACTGCTTTACACAAGTCAAGATTTAGACAAGGTGTGTTTAAGAACCATGTTAGATAAATAAATAAATTACACATCATGTGGTTTCAATTGTTTGTAGAAATATTTTCAATGTCCACACTTGGAAAATACCTTGTTGGGGACAACTGTACTAAAATACAGATCCAGAACATTGTCTCCAGAATTTAATTTTCAGGGGCAGGAGAAGAACATAGATCTCTCCCTCCCTCCTTCCCTCTCCCTCTCCCTCCCCCCTCTCTCTGTGTCTATATATAATTTTGTTAAGAATATTCATTATAATATTAAAACCTAATATAAACTAAACTAAGAAAAGAAAATAGGAAAGAGTAAAAAGTGGAAGACAGAAGAAGAAAAAGGAAAAGAAGACTGTATCTATCTTCCCTGTTTATATCTTTATATCTATGTATATATACTTCATCACAAGTATAAACAAATTTAGTAACTCTTCACCCTATGTAAGTTATTTATCTCTTCACTACATATCCCATCTCTTCTCTATGAACAAATCCATAAAAAACTTCCTTTCAGTCCTGATGTTAGCAGAATAGCCAGAAGTAATAACAAACAGTATCTTATTTTAACCTTGATCAAATAAACCTAAATTATATTGCTTCCTTTTACAACTAACAGTCATAGGATTTGATTTTTCTTCATTTCTTCCTTGTTCCATTGCACAAAGTTCTTCAAGATTTAACAGGCCTCTATTGTAAATTCAGTAGAAAAATATTATCCAGGTCACTCTCATTGTTTGTTATTTGTATTTTTTTTGTAGAGCCATTGAAACATCTTTTCTAAATCATTATTTTCACCTGTCAGTTGTAAATTCACTTTCGATGCCATCTTTATCTTACCAGGAAAAGATTGTTCTGTATCTAACATTTCTTCAATGGCTTTATAGTCTATTCACAGAACCAGACATCATTACCATTATTGGTATTATGGCTACTATTTCTGATTCTTTTCTTTAAAAGTATTATTCAGTATCATTATTTCTCTCTAGTGTCCAGTTTTTGAAATCATGGAATTCTTTATATTATGTTTTGCAAAAACTAAAATAGGATCTATTTCACATAAGAAGCTGTTTACATTTTACAATTAATTCGAAAATATTATTGTTAGTTTCATAATTCCAAAATCTTACTGTAAAAGTTTCAATATTCCAGTTTTATCTGGATCCTTAATCCCTTTCTAACTTTTTTGCTGTTTTTTTAGATTCTTTAAATCTTTAACTTTGTAATTAAAATTTTCTTTCATAGAGGATTAGATTCACCTGGCATTTTCAAATCTGTTATTCCAAAGGTCACTTAGAAATAGTTAAAGAGCAATTTTGCAAGATAATTACACATTTGTAGACCTTTTATGTACATGGAGGAAAAAACATTTGTTAGCATTTATCTAGGGTAGATTTTTTATGTTTAATGTTAGTTGTCTATGATGTATTTGATATCTGGGGGGTTGTTTCTACATATGTATTTTTTGTTTTCATTGTTGGTGTCTGATATCTGTTAGTTTTATTTCTTTGTTTTGTATTTTTGGAGATGAAGAATAATTTAAAAAAATGTGACACACTAGTACAGAGATCCCCAACCTTTTAGTTTTATTTCTTTGTTTTGTATTTTTGGAGATGAAGAATAATTTTAAAAAATGTGACACACTAGTACAGAGATCCCCAACCGTTTGGGCAGCAGGGACCGGTTCCATGTAGAGAGGTTTTTCTGCGGACCAGAGGGTGCGTGGTTTTGTGTATTGCCTGATCTCGTGGATGGGGCTTTGCTTGTTTGTGCAGATTGATTGCTGGCATGCCGCGGCCTGGTACTGGTTCACGGACTGGGGGTTGGGACTCCTGCACTAGTAGATAAGCAATCCACACAGAATATATATGCTCAAGATACTGGAAACTGGGGTTGTGCAAAGCATTCAGAAGACACCTTCACAAAGAATGCAATTTTGTGAAGCAGGTACATGCACAGTCTGCATTTTGTGATAGTCCAAATAGAAATGTCAGTACATTTACACATACTATGTACATATAGATGCACATTACCTGCAATTCATTGGTGGCATGCAGCCTACCCTCAAACTATCCCAAGATTCTGATACTATATTTTTGAAGCATTTTTCTAGAAAATCCTTTTCTCCCTCCACGGCTATTCTCCTCTAACCCTAACCCATGCTACTATTGCTGTGGCATAACCAACTCAGACCAGGAAGAGAAGTTACAGGAGAGTCATCAGCCTGTGAGAATTCATCTGGAAGAGTAGCAGGCGGGGAAAACAGTGTGGCCTACCAACCAAGACTGACAGCTATCGCTGGCCTCTGAACACAAAGAGGCGGAGCTTACATCACCTCCCACTCCCTGCCATGAGGAGAGAAGTGCTGAACAAATGCTCAGCAGAAAGAGCCAGAAAGAACCCAGCCTGCCAAAGGGATAACTATGACCTGGATAACTGAGAATTAAAAAAATATCCCAAAGATGCTTTTTCACAAGGCTACTGGTCTTTCTTGTTTTTCTTCGAAGGTGTTTTGCTTCTTATCCAAGAAGCTTTTTCAGCTCTGACTAGATAGTGGGGAATGGAAAGAAGAAGCATCCAGTCAGAGCTAAAGAAGCTTCTTGGATGAGAAGCGAAACATCTTCAAAAAAAAAACAAGAAAGTCCAGTTGCCTCGTGAAAAAGCATCTTTGGGATAACTATGACCTGGATAAATCTCCATAGAAATTTAAACAATACTCTTGAAATTAAAGGTGGTCCAAGTGCTGATTTTGAAGCTGCAGAAAAGAGATTCTGGTCAAAAGAAATTAGGATAGTGAAGATGCAGCATCCTGTAAGAAGACTCATTTATAAGCTCCAAGCAATGGTTTGCTGTTATATCTGAGGACTGTAGGTCTATCTCTAACTTTCATTAAGTAAAAACATTACATGTAGTGCTGTATCATGGTTAATTTGATTTTGATTTAATGTACAGATAGTCCTCAACTTATGACCACAACTTAGCCCCAGATTTCCATTGCTAAGCAAGGCAGTTAAGTGAATTGCATCCCAGTTTACAAACTTTTTTGCCACAGTTGAGTGAATCACTGCAGTTATTAAGTGAATCATGGGTCATTAAGTGAATCTGGCTTCCCCATTGACTTTGCTTGTCAGAAGCCATCTGCGAAGGTAACAAATATTGATCATAAATACATGGCAGTTGTAAAGCGCCCGAATTTTGATCACATGACCGTGATCAGTCATGTGTGTGAAATACAATGATGTTACTTTTTTCAGTGCCAATGGAACTTCGAATGGTCACTAAATGAATGGTTGTAACTTGAGAGATACCTGTAATAGGGTCCAGATAGGATGAAACAAGCTACAGTAAGGTTGAACCTGAACAAGATATGATAGAGTAGCTGTTAATTGTGGTAGTTTGTTAGACCCATTTTCTTCTTTGCATGGCAAAGCACTACTCTTAAATGAACAGGACTGTGACTTGAGGCATCTTCCTAAACTCATGGCTACTGATGGATGGATTTATTTATTTATTTAATATCCCATTTTTCATTTAGCAGCTGAAGGATGAATAAATATCAAAATGTAGCAGCAACAATACAAAGCAAAGCATAGTAACAGGAATAATAGTAATAATAGTATTGATTGTGTTGTCCAGTGTGATTTGGGGGGGGAAGGTGTTTTAGGGGGATACTGTAAAATAGGGGTCCGAAATCTCAGGCCATGGCCCATTTAGAACTAGGCTGTGAGAGAAGTGAATGCGTGCCGCTCAATTTGCGCAAGTGCGCAAATAGAGCTGCTCACACAGAATCATCCCCTCTATCCCCCCACACCCGCCGCTTTGCAAAGCCAGAAAGGTTGGAGACTGCTGCTGTAAAAGACTAGCAAAGATAGCTTTGAAACCCCATTTAATGAATTCTCCCTTTGTATTCAGATGCAAGTTTAAATTATATAAGTTGTTTTATGTTTAAATTCAGTTTCTCCAAAATCCATTGTTTTTCATTGAAATGAGAAGCGCATGTGCAAAATTTTGAAAAAAAAAACGTAAAATTAAAAATCACATAATATTGGAAAGAAAATGTGCACTTTGGGGGTATTTAAATATGGAATCTTAAGGAGGTATACAAAAATTTAACAATGCATATTCAATATTTGGGGCCAGTTTTCCATAGAAAAAGGGAAATATTAGGAATTGTTTTGTTAATATAATGTAACAGCTCCTTCTGGGACTCCCATTTACTTCCCTGTCCAGATTAAAACTATTTTGAGGTAATTTTTTGTTGAAAATTAGATGGTTTTTTTTTTTAAGAGCCAGCAGGTCTCAAGGGAGTTGACCTATGATGCAGGAAGGAATTAGGAAATTAATTAATTAAAATGGCTGATCAAAACCATGAAAAAAATCTCACTGCATTTCTAGAAAAAGACTGCCCTACTTTCATTTCCTATCTATAGTGAAAATGTATTGCTATAAGGCTATAATAATATATTCCTTACCTGCAAATCATTTCTTGAACTGGGAATTCAATAAGGAAAATTGGTGTGTGTACATTTTATATGACAAATATGTATTGATTTTCTTTTTTTTATTTCAATAGGTCAATGCACAAATAGTTCGAGAAGTTGATATAGAGAAAGTGTCCTCATTTGAGAACCCCTATGTAGATGCAATAAAGATCTTATGGAACGATCCTGGTATTCAAGAATGCTATGACAGACGACGGGAATATCAGTTGTCAGATTCTACTAAATAGTAAGTTTAGATGTTTTAGCAATGTAATTTTAAAATGTATATGAATATACACACATTAATATTGGTTTTCTCATCTCAATTTCGAAAGCTAGTTAATGTAACTTTTAACTGGTGCTTCAACCTGCTGAATTAATCAGATATTACTTAGATGTATATCGCAAGTATGAGATGCTTTCTTGAAATGCTTTGATGGTGATAGTATTATCCTAAACCTTCTTGTCAAATGATGATCATGCTGTTAGTATATACATAAATATGCCACCTTGCTTTTCTTTCCAGAACCCAGTTTTTTGATCACCTTTTATCTAGTTATCTTTCAGTTTATCTCATTAAAAATCAAAAGAGTTTTCTATTAATTTTTCACAAGCTACAATAGCTGTAACAGGGGATTATTTAATTATTATAAAATTATTTTTTTACCCTTCAAAAAATAAGAAATAATCTGGTTTTCAAAGAATGAAGTTCTCATTCTGAGTCTTGTATAATCATGTATGTATGTATGTATGTATGTCTCCTACCTTTTCTCCAAAGATGTTAAAGAAACATGCATTGTTTTCTCTTCTCTTCTTGTTTGTCCTTACCCAGTGAAAGCGAGACTAAGAGATGATGTTCATGCATTGAATATTGCGGCAAAAGAGACGTCCTGTACTTTGGTTCACACTTGTTGCTATGTGTGTGAAAACAATACATTATTGTAGGGCAGGAAGAGAAATAATATCTTATTTTTCAGAATTTCTGGAATAAAGAAGATAGGGTTACTTCTTTTGGAGATAATATGGTATATTTTCCAGAAGTTCCTCTTCATATGACCAAGAAGTAGAATTGGCAGTCAAAACTGACAGAATCTGACTGATAAGGCAAATGGCTGTGTATGAACATGAACATTTTGAACCTAGACCAAAATGTCTGGATATAAAAGCTCAAAAGTTTTATTTGGCAAAATTTGCAAAATATATTTATTTGTCTGTTACACTTTCTAGCCTTCAAAAGCTCAGCTGGATTAGTTAAACAGCACTAATAATAAATACATGCTTGGTTATTTTGGTCTTGTCCCTCATACTTGCATCCTAAAGTGCTGTGTAGGGTTTTTTTATACATAGTATGTACAGAATAGAGGATACAAATAATGTATTATCTTGAATACTGTTTTTTGTTTGCAGCAAATTCTAGTTGAAGAATTGTACATAGAAAACTGATGTGTTTTACACGTATATGTTTTATATTCTTTCTAATAGCAAGTTCGGGTAGTTGAGTGCCTGGTGATTAAAATGAAATGTGTGGTTTCAAGATGTCTAGGAAACTCTTGACTCACTCAAATTTAGAAGGAAAATATTTTTTAAAAAGCTCTAAAACCATTTAGTAGGAATTTGGTTTGATAGCAGAATGGCCATGATAGCATGGCCAAGCTGGCTGAGAATTTTGTAATCACATTCAGCATCATCAAATTGGGAAAAAAAAGTATAACAAAAAAGATAATAAAGAACAGACGTGTGAGATAGTGGATGAAAGTGTCTGAGATCTTGATTCTTAGTTTTATGGTTGGACAGGATGTTCAAGGCAAACCAAGTGTAATGATGGGTATGAGGTGCAATAGCTCCTTAATGATGTCCAGTGCAGGAGGCCTCCTCCAGTAGGATCACTGGGACAGTGCCACTCCTCTTTTAATTACCCTAACCCAGTGGTGGCGAACATATGGCACGCATTCCAGAAGCAGCACTCAGAGCCCTCTCTGGGGGCACGCACACCATTGCCCCAGCCCCTCCTCCCCCCGCAGCCCCCCCTCACCAGTAGCCCCCCTGGAGGAGAGTCACCCCCTGAGCGCAGCCCGCACAGAGCAGCACAGCCAAGGATATGGCAGCTGGGGAGCGGGGACAAGACTCCGCCCTCACGTCCTGTCACGTCCATTTGATGTTGTGGAGTGTGGGTGGAGGGCGTGCTGCTGGACCGCCTGGGTGATCGGCGGGCCATGGGGGCAGTGAGTGGGCCCATGGGCAGGCGGGGCGGAGACGAGATGGGCGGAGCGAAGCAGGTGGGATGGGGCAGAGCAGGGGCGGGATGGAGGTGGAGGCAGTTTTTGGGCACTCGGTCTCTAAAAGGTTCACCATCACTGCCCTAACCCTAAACATTCTGCACTCTGGGTTCAACTTTACATAGTATATTTATTTTAACCTATAATTATATAATTTCAAATTTGATCACAATTAGGCCAGTTGTGTCCAGAGTTGAGTAGTTTTATTAAGCAATTTGCACTGCTTGATAATTAGGTAACAAAAAAGGCTATTATCCTAGGAATGTGCAACCCATTAGTGGTTCTTTCGTACTTATATGTATGGGTTAATGCATCCAGAAAACACAAGAGCATAAATTAGAGTGGCTTTTGATACATTAAAACCCCAGTAATGCGTACATTGGCAGGGTCAGATTTCAATAATTGTTGCATACTACAGCCAGCCAAATCTCACTGGGTGTATTGTTCCAAAAGGCAGGCACCAAAACATAAAAGGACTAATTAAGTGACATTTTTCAAGGAGGGGACCCAAAATACACCTATCCTGGTGGACCTCATGAAACAAGCAGAAACAGTTGGAGAGATGATCCAACAAATAAATCAGCCCTGTGCCATTAAGGGTTTTATTGATAACTAGGATCTTGAATCATAGCCAAAATGCCTAAAAGAAGCCAATATAGCTTGCTTGAAAAACAACTATACGGCAAAATGGGAGAAGGGGATTGAGGCTTCTAAATCTCTTTTGTTATGCTACCAAAGTAGGAAACTTTGAACCAAATATCATGCCTTTCATTCTGAGACACATAGAAAATTGTAGATTTCTGTAATTCAGAAATGACCTATTTATTTTGCATAATTTATATTTACAGTAATGCACTGTAATGTTTTTTCCTGGAAATTCTCATTAGTGAGATGGTTTTAGTCACCTTTGAAAGATGTGTAGCACAGAAGCGTGTGGTCCTTGCTTCTCCTGATCCCCTAATCCTTTATTTACCATATTTTGTTGGGAAATATTGTAGATCTGTTATCATAAAAATACTTTAACCATTTAAGCTCATTATTAATGATACAGTTATTGAAAAGAAATTGCACTTCTTAATATATTTCTATTATAAACCATATTTTAAAAGTTAATTATAGCTGTAATTTGTTCAATAAAATCTAGAATGGCGGCTGCAGTAATTTTATTGGGTTGCCATAGAGATAGGCCCGAGGTGCTATAGCAAGGTAATTTGTGTGGTCATAATGCAATCATGGCTCTCTGAGGCAGTCACAAATTCTAATACAACTAAACGTTTTAGAGTTGCGCCTTTATATGATAATACATTGGAGCCCTTAGAATAAGCTAATTCAATTGACTGGTAAGCAAGCAAAAGACTATGATGAGACCATGTGATGAACCTTCCTATCAATAATAGTTAGAGAACAGGGTTAAGCAAGTTACCAGTTATCAAGACAAGCCAATGTATCCAAATGTAAAAATAAGTTTAAAGAAAGAGTATCAGGGAAGGATAGACAGAAAAAGCTTAGAGATATTAAGGGTTTTATACAAGGCATAGTCCATGTGTTGAAAATGAAGTAGCATCCTTTTTGAATGCAGTATCCTTATGACAAAATTTCCTCTTCCCTCTGGGGAAGTCCAGTTCGCCTCTTCTTGCTAGTTTTAGGTAACTAGCAAGAAGGAAAACGTGTTTGTTCAGCAGAGGTATGTAGATATAAGCTAATGGTGAGCCTGCTGTTATGTATCTCTTTGACCAATTGATAGATTGTTTCATTGATATGGCTGCCCAACTTACAAAAGGACTGGGTGACTTATAATTATATAGAAGTGTGGAAAAAATTATAGGAAGCATCTGGAATGAAATAATGGAACAATAATATAATGAAATAAAGAGAAACAGAATAACCAAATTGCCACTGTATGCATGTTCAAAAACCTTTCATTCTGCATGTGTTCAACTCACAGCCTGGCCTGGTGCCTGGAGGAAGAACTAGGTTTTCAGGACCTTACAGAAGGATAGGAAGCACAGGGCTATCTGAACCTTGGGAAGAATCATATTCCATAAGCTGGGTGCTGCAGCAGAGACGGCAAGCCTCCTGGATCCTTCCAAGTTAGATGGCTTCAAAAAAGCGATTTAAAGATTGCCCACCTTCCTCATTCTTCTGGGACAAGCAGAAATAGACTTTTAAGTAATTCAGTTGGCTTCATAGATGATAATTAGCAACTTGAATTATGCAGACATCCATGGGGAGGCAGTACAGGTCACAGAGGAATGACTTTTCAAAGATTTCTCAATGTGGCCCATTCTGGACCAATTGCAGCTTCCAGGTGGTTTAAAAGAGCACGCAGCTTAAAGCATGTTTCAGTAATCCAAATGTGAGTTACCAGGGCCAACCATGTTAGGAGTGGTACAATTGAGCACATGATAGATCTATTGAAAGAGGCTGTCTTGGCCATTGCTGCTGCCTGGTTTTCAACAAGAGCCAGTAGTCCCAAAAGGACCACCTAAACTGCATACCGTCTCCGACTGGGAAATGCAATCCAATCCTGAACTGAAATAAGAGAATCTCTAGAATTAGGAGACTTCAAAACCCACAGCCATTCAATCATGTATTGGGCTGAAGCATTTTCTTCCCCCACCCCCACAGCCTCCAGTACTGGGAAAGAACGAATGGAATGGAATGGAATGGAATGGAATGGAATGGAATAGAATAGAATAGAATAGAATAGAATAGAATAGAATAGAATAGAATAGAATAGAATAGAATAGAATAGAATAGAATAGAGCTGGAAGGGACCTTGGAGGTCTTCTAGTTCAGTCCCCTGCTCAAGCAAGAGAACCTATACCATCTCAGGTGATTGTCTAGTCTTTTCCTAAAAATCATGGAGCGCCCATGATTTCTGGGGGTAAGCTGTTCCACTGGTTGATTGTCCTCACTGTCAGGAAGTTTCTCCTTAATTCCAGGTTGCTTCTCTCTCTGGTCAGTTTCC